GAGTTTAATCAAGTAACATCAAACAGTAATCAATTACTGCAAACAGTTACAGTTTTCAATAAACTAATTGTAATTGCAATCGGTTACCTTGTTTCACTAACGCGTACAAGACTGGATGGGGGAAGGGTTGGTGGATTACAGGACCAGTAGGTGTTCGGGATGGAGGTATAAACTCCCCATTTGGGGCAAGTGGGAGAAACGGGACGTTTGTAATTGTGGTGGAAGATGTGGTACGATGGTAGGGAACTGGTCTGGGTTTCTCTGACGAGAAAGGCTTGCTCTCACGACAGTCTTTTAGAGGGAGGGGGGGGGGGGTACATGGTCCGCTCTTGTCGCTCTTCTTTGAACCTCAACTCCTGCAAGGCTCGTTCAGTGTTCCCAGCTGTTCCTGCCCACTAGACGGTCAACCATGGCATGCGGGGGGAGGGGGGGGGGGGGCGCGGAGTTTTTGCGGGTGAAACAATGGCCTTTTTCACTTCCCTCCACGCCTTAGTAGCCAGGTGTCCATACAAGGCGGAATCTCTTGTCAGCGTGCCGGACGCTTACTTGGCGGACTAGATAAGCCGTGAGAACGCTAAACACACCAAATACGCGCTCCAGGCACCGTACTTCCGATTCAGCAAGGCTTGCTCACTATAGACATAATTACCTTTTCCGGCGGCGCAGAATGGGCATGTTGCTGACGGTTGTGAGCCCCGCAGGCCTGACAAGTGTCAGGTCGAAAGTAGCCTTCAGAGCAGGTTCGTCGAAGCACGGGAAGGCTAGGTGGGCACCATCAGGCTCAAAGAACGTGACCCACTGAATATTCTCTTCGGATATCTCAACTGTAATACGGGAAAAGGTTCAGGTTACCACCCGGACAATAGCGCGTCATAAAATGACAATAAAGTGTTGCTAATTTTGGAAAAGTGGGGCAAGCCCCACCCACCGAGGCTGTTTGCTTGCCATAATTGATGGTTCCCTCATTTCCAATCGGTTGTTCGCCAGCGTTCGCTCAAATACTGTATTAGCAGAATGCATTCTGCTCAGCTCTCATTTTCCTTATACAGCAAGCCTACAGCACCGAAGTTTCCCCCATCGGCGTGAACAAAATGCTTCCGAATGAACGCGCGCGGATCGCGCTGTTCTCGCTGTTGCGCTTTCGCGCCGCGTCGAGGGCAGGGCCACCGCCGTCGAACCGAGATACCGGATTCGCCTTGACACCAAAAACGGCTGTCTTCGCTGTCTCGTAGGCTGTCCACGACGATAGATGGCGGAAGCCACCCCTTCCGATTCTTAAGTGGAACATTCCCGACGCTGCGAGCGTCCAGCCGTTCTAACTACGCAAAAGCTGTCGGCTCCAAGGCCATTATATTTTTGTGGAGTAAGACTTATTCCCTAGTTAAGTATTTCGTTAGCTCGCTGCAAAAGCGGAACGAACGAAGGGCATTGCACTCTTTAAGTAGCATGGAACGCTCACTTGCTCGCAAAACACTAAAGATACCAGTCACTGCAATCTACAAGAAAAAGTACGCTCTGCGGCACTGAACATGGTTACACGTTATGCTCATTGCTACGGCGCAGAATTTTTTTTTAGACCTAAATATATGTTGAGGCTCTAATTATTATGCAATTAAATGCAAAGTTGCAAGCGAGCTGGACAAGAATGACGAAAATAATCTCTGGAGAAGGGGAACAAGAGGAACAAGGGACAAACGTAAATCTCCAAACACAGCTAGGTCGCTGGTGAGCGACCGAAAAAATCCGCCTGGTCCGGGTACCGAACCCGGGACCTCTCCATTACAGGTAGAGCGCTCTACCAACTGAGCTAACCAGGGGTTAGACGTCAGTAGAGCAAACGGCCTCGTCGTCCGCCGAGTTTCCTTCGTAAATTACAGCGACTGGCTCTCCAAAATGCTTTGCGGGGAATGTATGTAGACGTTTAACATGTAAGAATAGTGAGGTACAGTCGATTAAAGAAAAATACAGCGTACGCTTAAGACTGGCTACGTGCAGAAATGCTTTCGCATTTCTACACTCAGCGCATTCTTTCAAGCAGCGTGACCCGCTGTCCGCGGCACGGCGAACAGCGGACAGCGCGTCCCGCTCCTCCGCGGCGCGACATGACTGAATCCAGAGTGTATAGAACACGTGAGGAGCGGGAATTTCCAGCTCACCCTTAACACCCCCCACACCCCTCCCCTACCCCCACGGGCCTCCAGCCACGCCTGACACGTGATCCAAGAAGGGGGAGAGAGGGGCTGCTGAGCGCGCTCCGCTCTTTCTTTAGTAGCTCGTTTTTCGTGGTCACGGACAACGCCGGCGTTGCTAGATGGGGCAGTTAATGCCTTAGCATT